AGCAGGTGGCATAGTGTTTTAGATGTTGGATTTCCACATGGTCAACCACAGTTCGAGTCCCAGACCTAGCAGCTTGAAACTCACACTGGGCGTGTGTGCTTGTGTGTCGCAAGTCCTGAGAGGACAGGAGAAGAAGAGAGAGTGCGACCTGGCTATCTCCCTTGGTGGTGGTGGTGGGGGGGGATGATCTTTCACTTTCTGTCCCTCTGGCAAGTTCACATGTCCCATAGGAAAACACTCTCAAAAAATAAAGGGGGTGGGGTGCGATTGCAAATGGATCACAGGAACAGAATTAGAACCGTGGACCATACTTTGCATAGCATTCTTATAGGAGGTAAGATATGAAAATATATCCTATTCATGACCTTGGAGTAGGTCAATTTCTTTAACTAGGACACCAAAAGCCCTAAGTATAAAAGAAAATACTAATCCATTACCATGCGATAAAATAAGAACTTCTGTTTATTAAAAAGGGTCATTAAGGAGGTCTTTCCTCATTAAGGGAAAAGTGGAAGGAAGTATTTGCACCAAGTGGGAATAGATATTTGTAATATACAGAATGAAAAGAAACACAGCCATGCCTATCCAAAATATATAAACAACTTCATGTGTCTGTTATCAAGGGAAAGACTTCAGCATAGAATTGGCAAAAGATTTTTAACAGGTAGTCATTAAAGATGGTCAATAAGCATTAAAAAAATGTGCCGATTCCCATTAGTCATCAGGAAAATGCAAATTAAAACCACAATGAGATTCCACTATGAATCCACTAGAAATGCTTAAATAAAAAGACTCTCAGTTCAGTTGACAGTGGGATATGCAAATGAGCACCGCTCTCTGTGCAGCAACTTGGTCAGCTCTCGCAGTTGTGACAGGGGGTGAAAGACGCCACACACAAACAATGTGCCATTTATGGTCCATTAAGATGAAGCTTAAATACATGCCAAAGTCATCTGTGAAGTTTCCAGGTCAACACAGGGCTTATCTGTGGGAAGGAAGGAAAGACCAAGAGGGAGGAGCTCAAAGAGCCATAGCAAAGCCTAGAAGTGTACTGTTTCTTGACCCAGGTGGCAGTAGCATGGGCAATCCATTTGTGACATTGACCCAGGTGGCAGTAGCATGGGCCATCCATTTCTGACAATTCATTGAGCTGCATGCGTACAGTATGTGCACTCGACATGACATGATATTAGGAAAAGAAGTTTTGTTGTTGTTGTTGTTATTGTTATTTTGTTTTTAAATATTTATTGAAAGATGGGATCAGCAAATGGAGAAATGGTTAGGTTGCTGAATTCCCACATGGCCGACCGTGGTTCAAGTTCCAGACCCGGCAGGTTCAAATTCACATTGGGTGTCTGTGAGTGCATGCCCATAATCCTGAGAGGAGAATGGGAAAGTGATTGCAACATGGCCATCCCCCCAAGGGGTCAGTGATTTCTAGCTTTCTGTCTCTCTCTCTGTCTCTGTCTCTCTGACAAGTACATACTGCCTATAACAAAAATCTCTCTAAATATGTATATATATATATATATATATATATACACACACACACACACATATATATATATGAGTATGTATATATATATAAATGAAAGACTAGTCTGAGGAGGCTTCATGCTTACAGTGAAGCCCATAGTCCCATGGAAGAAATGGAAGTCATGCTTTGAAACTATGAAATATTAATGAATATAGAAATCTGTGTTCCTGGGGCTAGCAGGTGGTATAGTTGTTTAGGTGTTGGTCTCTCATGTGGCTCACCACAGTTCAAGTCCTGGGCCTGGCAGCTTGGAACTCATGCCAGGCATGTGTACATGTGAGCCCGAAACCCCAAGAGAAGAATGAAGGAGAAGGGATTGCAGAGTGGCTATCCCCCCTGGAGGGTGATTTCTCTCTTTCTGTCTCTTTGTCACCTCAGTGAGTGCACACACCCTATTAGCAAAGAGGTGAGATGTTTGGACTTTATTTTAGGGACCAGAAGCCATTGCATATTTGTAAGCAGGTGAGCCTGAAGATGTGATTTGTAACTTTAGAAGGTGGTTGTAATTGCTTTGTAAAGAGTGGACTGGAGACTCAACAGCAGCAGGTAGACCCATCAGTAGATAATTACGCCATGAAGGTAAGAGAGGACATTGACTGACTTAAAGTGGGAACAATGTAGATGGTTTAGGACTGCTGCCTGGGTTAGGGATATACCTTCGGAAGCACTCTGCATTAGAAAGCACATGAAGCCTTGGGAATGGGCAAGGTCACTCAGGAGAGGCGTCACATTTCAGTGTTAGGCAGAAAACACAGAAATGAGGAGAGTGTGACAGTTTACAACATTTCTCCTGTCTTGTATAATGGGATTAAAAAGCACTGCTGTTTTAGACGCAGGGATGTTTGGAGTAGGGAAAATCATGCTGAGGAAGAAAGGGATGACTTTTATTTTCATCGTAGAGTTGAAGACTCCTAGACATACTGAGCTTACTCCCTTTGTACCACAGATGAATCTGTGGAAAACTGGAACAGCTCATTAACTTGTTTGGTTGCTTAGGTTATGACACAAATAGTTTTAAAATCAGAAAGGTCAGGTGGTGATGTAGTGGTAATGCAACTGGATTCACATGGGAAAGGTTCTAGATTTGCAACCTGAGACCTCCCTGAAGACGTGCCCATGATCTAGGCTGGCTGATACTGGGGACAGATCATGGTCAGAGTCCCTGTTGGAGGTGCATCTCTCTATCTCTCTTTCCTTATTATTATTATTATTATTTTGACAGGTTTTGCTATAGGGAGCATGTACTCGCCAGAAAGACAGAGAGAGAGAGAGCGACAGAAAGTGAGAAATCATCACACTGGGCAGATTGCCATGCTGCAATCCCATCTCCTCCATTTTCCTCTCGGGATCTTGGGCATGCACACACATGCACCCAGCGTGAATTTAAGCCACCAGGTCTGGGACTTGAACCGCAGTTGACTACATGATAGTCTAGCAACATAGCCATTATGCCAACTGCTGGTCCCTCTCTCTCTCTCTTTCTGAAATAAATAAATAAGCTTTAAAAAAATCCGAAATATTGAAGCCAGTAGTTGGTATGGTGGATCCTACATGGCTGACATTCAGCAACTTGAAAAACACACTGAGCTCATGTACATGCATCCCAGAATCTTGTGAGGAAATTGGAGGAGAGGGGATTGCAATGTGGTCATTCCCCCCTGGGGCTGATTTCTCACTTTCTGTCTCTCACTGTCTCTCTGGCAAGCATATATACCCTATGGCAAACATATTAAAAAAAAAAAGACATCCCCTCCCAAAAAATAATAATAATAAAAATCAGAACTGCCTTGGTATCCAGGCTGGTACTTTAATTTTGAAACTTCAGTGAGTGGCTTCCTATTTGCTGGTTAAATGACTTCCAAGTGAGATGTCTTCAGCTAATCCCAGCCAACATGACTCAGCTAGTGATAACGACTCCTCATCATGAAAGTGAATACATGAGCGTGATTCCACAGTCTTTCCTACAGGCGTTGCTGGATGAGATTCTCATGCTCCAAGATGAAATCAATGAGCTGCAGTCATCTCTCGCAGAGGAGCTGGTGTCGGAGTCCCGGGAATCTGACCCTGCGGAGCAGCTGGCCCTCCAGTCCACGCTCACAGTCCTGGCTGAGCGCATGTCCACCATCAGGATGAAGGCCTCCGGGAAACGGCAGCTCTTGGAGGTAACAGTAACCCTGCAGTTACCCCTTGCTTCTGAATTGAGTCTGGAAGTTGTGCTAACAAGTATGTGGGCTAGTTACATAATCTTCATCCTTATTGTTTGCCACTGGTAAGAAGCTGCTATTGTGTTTCAAGAACAGTCCTTGAACAGAGCATGAGTCAGCGTGTAGCCCTCAGTATGTCCTTTTATCTCTTTCTGACTTATTTCAAGCATGAAATATTGAGAATATGGGAAGCAAATACTTGATAGAATGAGCCTTGTGAGAGTAATTTTAGAAGCTTTGCATAATGATTTGCTATGTTTAAATAGGAGCTTTTTATCAATGACATTATATCCAGAGTAAGTCCCACTTAGTCACTGTTAGTCAATTCAAACACTTTAATCATAAAAGTACTCTTGCAATGCTAGATCTCATGTTACTTGTTTGAAGTGTTGTTTAATGTAGGGACAAATTTAGGCAACACTAATATCCATGTTGAAAATCAGTATTGTCCTCTTAATTTGTTCTCATCATTTTTGGCCCCAAGTGTATATGACATTCATATTGTTGCTCCTGCACTTCTGTCAGCCTGCAGATTCCATGAAGACCTCCATAGTGTCTGTCTCCTTCTATTTCCAGAGCCTTGGAGCTTCTCTGGCACATAATTAGTTCTCAATACGTTTCTTGTTATATGCACTGACCTTACGTTATGTAGTTGCTGAACAACCATAATCAAGAAACTATAGCCCTGTCGCTGGGTGTGTAGGCTCTTCCTAGGTTTACCTGTTATGAGATCAATCCAATGATATATTCACATACCTCTACATTTGGACAAATGTAAAATTAATGGATCTGCCCTATTTACTCATTTTCATTATAAACTAATACAAATTTAATTAAAGAAAATAGTAATGAATTATTAATAAAAATTTTAAAAATAAGTTATTTAGAGTGTCTTAAGAGTTGAATTAATTCATACTGCTCACCCTATAAAAAATCTTGTGGCGTTTCAAAACGAAATGATTACCTCAGATTTTTTTTTTTTAAGCATAAAGTATTTGCAATCACTGGAAAAAATCCAGAGATCTCACCTAAAAAATTAGATTTCTGCTTTCAACTGAGACACAAGTAACATTGAGCCACACTTTCCCAGAGGGATCAATTGCCTAAAACTGCAAGGTGGCTGCCCTTTTAGAAGAGTTTCTGCTCTTCAGTTTTCCACAGGCCCCACCACACCCTACGGTTCCCAGACATTGAGGCCAGATTTCTATTGCCATTTACCCACTGTTTTATGCCTTTGTTTTATTCTTTTTTTTTAAAAAAATGTATTTATAATTATATTTATTCATTCATTTTTTAATTTGACCAGAGAGACACAGAGAAACACAGAGAGAGAGAAAGTGAGAAAGCAAGCCACCAGGTCCGGGACTTGAACCGTGGCCAGCCAAGTGGGAGTGTCCAGTGCCTTAACGACCACACCACCTGCTGGTCTCATGCCTTTGTTTTATTCTAATCCTTGATGGCTACCCATCATTTACTGATCATTGCCTGGTCCTATAGTTCTGTTATTTGAGAGCATCTTATTCAGCTCTAGGTATACATTAGAAAAGTCAAGGGCATCTTGTATTTATTTCTTTATTTATTTGAGAGGATTTTTTGCTATAGGGTGCATTCATTCACCAGAAAGACAGAGAGGGACAGAGACAGAAAGCGAGAAATCACCCCCCAGTGTGGATGGCCATGCCGCAATCCCTTCTCCTCCGTTCACCTCTCGGGATCTTGGGCACTCACGCACATGCACCTGGCATGAGTTTAAGTCACCAGGTCCAGGACTCGAACCATGGTCAGCTACATGGGAGTTCAGCGACGTAGCCATTATGCTAACTGCTGGTCCCAAGGGCATCTTTTAAAAAAATGCTAGTCTTAAAACTCACCCTCAGAAGTTCTGACTTACTATTTGAGGTGTGGCCTAAGCATCTTTCTTTTCTTCTTCTTTTTTTTTTTCTTTTTTTTAAGTTTCCCAGGTGATTCGGATATGCACCAGGGCTGAGAACCAGAACTTTATTGTGTTGAGTCCTAATGCTTTTGCTTTAGGGTGATCTGTGGAACTTTCTCCTTCACACACTAGGAGAAGCTCAATGATCAGCTGGAAGAACAGAGACAGGAGCAGGCCCTGCAGAGATATCGCTGTGAAGCCGACGAGTTGGACCACTGGCTCCTGAGCACTAAGGCCACTCTAGACATTGCCTTGGGAACACCTAAAGAGCCCATGGATATGGAGGCCCAGCTGGTGGACTGCCAGGTACAAAATGGTCTTGAGAGATTATGCTAACATTACAAAACACATTTTCTGCCATAAAAAGGCTTGGTATGGATACATGGATTTTTACAACCTATAGACTTTGTAGACTTAGAGAACAGAAAAGCAATACATTATAGAAGCTTAAATGAAATCCAGACTTGGACTTCATTTTAGAAAAAAAAAAATTTCAAAAGTATTTTCAACTTCCAAAGTGCATTTTTTTAATTTGCCAGAGGACATATGCACTCACCAAGAAAAACAAGGAAAAAGGGTAAGAGGGAGAAAGAACCCTCCAGTGGGGAATGGTTCCACCTCAGTTCCTTCTCTATTTTTCCTCTATGCTGTTGGGACTTCGGGCATCAAGCACATGCATCCAGCATGATGTTCAGGCCATTGAGGCCAGGATTTGAACCATGTGGTAGACCATGTGGGTCTGACTGCCTTAACCACTAGACCACATAGTTGGACCCTAAAGCTTGTCAATATCAAAATTCATATGATATCTCTATTTAGTGACTAATAAACAATACACACCCAGTGAAAAGAATTGGTATCAGTGAGTCCAGCTTTGAATGAATATATTACAAAGGGTTCCTCAGTTCTCCGTTGTAATTTTGGTTCTCATCTTGATATATTACTTGAAAAACTTTTCCTACTATTATTTTTGGGAGAACAGAGAGACTAGGAATTAATGCAAGAGGTAATTGTATGTGGTTTCATTCTAATATTATTTTCTTTTCTCTTTATTATGAAAATTTTCAAATACGCATGTAACTATAGGGAATAGATATTGAAGTTCCATGTACGCATCATGGCACTCTGGCAATTACTGACAAACTAGCCTCCACATACAGATAGTGTGCACTTTATATAGAGTTAGCCCCATCTATATGTCAGGTTTTATATAGGGATGTAATGATTACTGTGTATACACAACTTCTCCCTTCTCTCATTTGGAATGAGACAGAATGTGCAACGATCATTATTAATGAGCACTACCTTTTGCTTAATATGTAGTGCACCATTCTGTCATTTCCATTTATTTCAGATTCAGAATACTGATGATTATCATTTGGACTTTAAAAGTCATAGTAAATTTACCTATGCATATTCAAAGCATTATCCTCTGCCTTGCTTTTAGAAAATAATTAAGAGCCAAACATGAGTGTTTTCTATTTTTCATATCTTCTTTCCTAATGTCTCTTCTCTGAAAATAGATATCTATTTTTAGCATTTCCTTTTAGTACTTGAGATTGTCACCTTAACTTGAATTTTAGAATGATGTTTTATCAGTACTGCCACCCCTCCCGTTTGGATATATCTATTTTTAAAGCAATGCATAAAGTCCATAATTCAGATAATATATTTTGAGGCTTTTAAAAGTGTTTTGATCATTCTTTAAGAAACTAGAAGCATATGGAGTCATACATGTAAATAACAGTTTATTAAAATCTGATAATCAGTTAGTACATTATTAATTTCATTTTAATTATTAAGTTCAATTACTAATTTCAAATTAGAACCAAAATTTTATCAAAACATAATTAGTATTTTTATTAAAATCAATTTAAATCTAGCATTTCAGCTAATTAAATTACAGTCCCTGAAGCTCTAGTGTTAAGCCCGTTGTCTGAGAGCTATAATGTTGGCTAATGAACAGAATCAGCCACAAGACGACTTCTATAGATTTGGGCCTTTTGCCTCTGTGGGCTCCTTTCCCCTAAAATATACTAAAACTTGTCTTTTCATTTTACAACTGGTCAGGTACAGAAACTAATCCTGGGTGGATTTGAAATCATATATTCTATATTATTATATTTGGTTTTTTCTTCTAATTTTAAAAGAAAATAAATTAAACATTCTCTTGGGCCTTTAAAAGCATTATAGGCCCTCAGCACTGTGCCTAATGAAAAAAATACCAATCCACTATAAAACTATTAATCTCTCAAAAGTAAAAGTAATCCTCAGTAAATCATTCCTTTAATGCTCATTTTAGTAAATGTTTTGCTCTTCCCCTTAGTTCTGGTTGTTTGGCTTGAAGTTATATTCTTATTTTTTTGGAGAGGTTTTTTTTTTTTTTTTTTTTTTTTTTTTTTTTTTTTTTTTTTTTTTTTTCTCTTCTTCTTTCCCCCCCTTCTTCTTT